AGTTATATACTTTATAATTTCACACATATAACATTCTCAAAATGACAAAATGAGAAAGCTGGGCATGGTGGCGCACTCCTATAATTCCAGCAGTTTGGGAGGATGAGACAGGAGGATTGCGTTCAAAGCCAGCCTCAGCAACAGCAAGGCGCTAAGCAACTCAATGAGACACTGTCTCTAAATAAAATGCAAAATAGGGCCGGGGATGTGGCTTAGTGGGCTAGTGTCCCTGAATTCAATCCCTGGTATCTGCCCCCAAAATGACAAAACTAAAGATGGAGGACAGATTAGTAGTTGCCAGGGCACAGAGAAGCATAGAGTGGGTATAGATATGAGTAAAACAAGGTGGCACTGGAGAGTTCTTTTGTGTGATGTAACAGCTATGGAGATAGTCACACAAATCTGTGGGATAAAGTGCATAGAACAAACACACCCACACACCAATGAATGCAGGTGAAAACTAAATTAGGTCCATAGTCACTTAGAAGCAATGCACCAAAGTCAATTTCCTGGTTTTGCTATTGCACTGCAGCTATGTATAAGATGTCACTATTGAGGGGAATTGGAAAAGGGTACAGGAGACTATTATTTTTGCAACTTTCTGTCTGCCTATTATTATTACAAAATTCAGAAATAAAACTCTAGCAGATGAGGATTAAAAACTATACTTAAAAAAAAATACTGGGGATTGAACCCAGAGGCACTTTACCACTGAACTACATTTCAGCCCTTTTTACATTTTATTTCGAGACAGGGTCTCTTACTAAGTTTCTGAGTTCCTCCTGCCTCAGCCTTTCAAGTTGCTGGAATTGCAGGCGTGTGCCACTGAGCCCTGTTCATAAATGACTTCTTAATATTGGGAAATTTGCAAATGGATTAGGGTTAGATGACATTTGATAATTTCTTTCAATTTTCTTAAGTGTGGCAATGTTTTTATTGATTGATTGGTTGATTAATTGCATTACTGGGGACTTAATGCAGGGTTCCATGCATGCCAGGCAAGCACTCTGCCATGGAGCTACCTCACTAGCCCTTAGGTGTGATAATGTATGCTTATCCCAAGTTCACATTCTTAGATGATGTAGTTTGAAGATTTAGAGGTCAAAGTGTCAAAAGTATCTATAACTTACTCCCAAATAGTTCAGCAAATACGTGTCTGTGAATATACATCATTTAAAAAATGGCAAAATGAAAACAATTATTGAATCTATGTGTTGAGTTTATGGGTGATTATTGTATTTGAAATGTTCATAATAAGAAGTTGAAAGAAAGATGAACCACCAATATGTACATGCATCCCCGAAGCTTTATGGTAAGTAAAGAACCCAGACTCAAAAGACTTCACGCTGTAAGTTTCCATTTAGATGACATTCTGCAAAAGGTGAAACTACAGAAACAGAAATCAGATTAGTGGTTGCCAATGACTGGGGATGGGGGGAGGAATTGACTACTAAAAAGCAAGAGAAGACTTTGGGGGTGATCAAAAAGTGCTATATTTTGATAAGGATGGTGGATATACAACTATATGTGTTTGTCAAAATTCATAGAATTATATACTAAAAAAGTTGAATTTTAATGTACATAAATTATGCCTTTAAAAAAACAGAAAGTACCATGTGCAGAAGACCCATTAAGAAACAAGTTACAGCTAGGCGTGGTGGTGCATTCCTGTAATCCCAGAGGTTCAGGAGGGTGAGACAGGAGGATTGCAAGTTCAAGCCAGCCTCAGCAACTTAGCCAGGCACTTAGCAATTCAGTGAGACCCTTTCTGTAAAATATATATATATGAGGGCTGGGGATGTGGTTCAGTGATTAAGTGTACCTGGGTTCAATCCCTGGTATCAAAAAAAAAAAAAATCAAGTTACATGAGGATGAAGATCTTACCTGTCTTAGACTTGCTTGATTATCTTATAAAATAGTTGGCACCAATAAATGTTAGCCAGTACTTGTGTTTTCCCCCAAGGGGGGAAAAACTGCTGTGTTCCACTGATTCTCTGGCTATGGAGTACCCTGGAGTGTAAGCTAGGCCCACAGCAGGTGCCCAAATGAGTGCTCGTTGAATGAATGATTTGGCCCTGTCTCATCCCCATAGCATGACTTATTTTCTGTGGCATTCTCTGCAATGGAGAGGTCCTCAGATGTCCTAGTGGTCTCCGGTGGAGGGAGTTCTGTGGGTTATCTTAGGGTACCAGCAACAGCTCCAATAGATGGCACCTAGATGCTTCAACATTTTCTTCCTCTGGCACAGGATGGGAATTTTCTCTCTGCAGTGGGGTGAGTGGTCACATTTAGGTTAAATATGGGAGGGAAGAAGAGGGAAGGGGAGAACATGCAGAAAACACCAGATGCTCTTTCTAGCTTTTAAAAAACACAGGCATTAGGGAACACAGATTTTTATCACAGTCTGTTTCACTAGAAGGGAGAAGTGGGGAAGGGAATAGCAGTCTGTGGAGGGGGACTAATGGAGATCTCAGAACTGGATCTGGGGTCCAGTGATAATGACAGTAAGCATCACAGTGACGACAACAGAATTAGCAGACACTGTATGGCAGGTGCTAAGCATGCCACACGAAGTATCTCAGGTAGCCTTCTCAGTAACTCTACAATTATCATCATTCCCATCTTCAGATTAGGAAACTGAGGTCCAGAACAGCAAGTAAACCAAATCGTACATTTTCCTCTGTGCAAACTGGTGTACAAATGCATTGAGCTCCTGAGATTGCAGAGCGTGCGAGGTCAGGAAGGACACATATTAAACGAACAATGATAGTTCTCCGAGGAGGAGGACGGATGGCTGTGGTAAAGGTGGGAGCTCGAGCTTTTATCGTGCTGCGTAATTTTCACACTGGGGCTGTGCAGCCGTGTGGTGCGGAGGAGGGGTGGTGGTGCCCGTGTTCAGGAATCCCAGAGCTAATTTGGAACCGGGTTTTAGGGACTGCAGATCCCGGGTTTAACCCGCAGACTGCGCAGCCCTCCGGGAGCCACGGGGCCTGCCTCCTGCTGGTGGAGGGGGGCGACCAAACCACCAAACGACTTTCCACAGGCTCCTTGTCTCCCGCTCTGGGTTTCCCGGGGGACTCAGGCCAGCCTCGGTGTCTCGGGGGCCTTCGGAGAGCCCACTGCCGGGTGTCCAGCCCCGCGGCCCGCCCACTGTCGCCGAGCCGACTCCGGGCCAATCAGACCCGGGAGATGCCACTCCGGAGATGAGAGTGGCAGGAAATCAAGGTCAAGGCCCCGGACACAATGGGGCCATTGTCGGTCTCCAGTCAGTTGACTTTCAAGCAGCAGTTCCCCTTCCACCCTCGCTCCCTGCCAGGAAGTCACCCAAACCGCCTGCCTCCTTATTAGCCCCCGCCCAAAGGGAGCCGCATTCTGGGTCCTACCCCCGGAGGCGCCGGCCGGGCCGCCCCTGCATTATCTGTTCCTTCCACCAGGTGGCAACAGAGCACCACATTTCTGGGAGCCGGGAGGGAGGAAAGGGGCGGCTGCTCAGTTGCTGATCAGGGCGTGGGGGAACCTTGCCTTTCCTGTTTTATCCCAGAGCGACAAAAATCCGAGTTAGATTTGCCTTCCCTCATCCTTTACTCTGAGGTCACAAAGATCTGGAATCTTAGGAGCTCTTGCCCCAGCAAATGACAAAATGGCCGTAAATGTAGCACTTTTCCTTGGTGGGGAAGAAACTGAAAGGGGAACCCCCTTATTGAGCAAGTCCCAGAAGGAGGAACCCTGACAGCTTCTCTGGTCAGGAATAACAAACCATCTGATTGACGGGTTGTGTTGGTGTATAAATAGTATTTCTGACCCCCACCCCACCATGACGTCCTCCCCCAGAGCAAGTTATAGGTTTCCTTCTTCACATATATCACAGTGTGCATTAGGACACATATTTGTCTGATTATTTTCTACTAGAATACACTCTCTAAGAGAGCAGGAACAGAGTCAGTTTTTGTGCCAAGTACAGTGTCTAGTACATAGTAAATGTTCAATAAAAATCTGAGAAGGTAATGTGTGAATGATGTCCACTGAAGTTCCAGAGAATCCAGCATGTATGAATACAGGTAACACCTGGGCCCATTTAGCAGGGGCTGGGGGCCTTGGCCCAGATCATCGATTAGAGAGGAATGTCCCCTGCGGCAGAAAATTTTGAGATTAAGACATCTGGACCTGGTCTGGCCACCTGGCTTCACAGTTCCACCTCCACCCATCATGTGTTGAGCAACTTTGTACATAAGGACCTCTCTGGGCTTCAGTCTCCTCACCTGTTAAATGGTAATAAAAATGTCATCTGTCTCTCTAAAAGCCAATGTGAGTGTGTACAGAGCCTGGAACACTGAGCACCCAGGGATATGAGTCATTATTATTGCCGTATTGCCATTATTGGGCAAAGAGGCCATAGCCCAAGTGCCCAAGTCAGGTGCCAGTTGAGGGTCTGGGGCTGGGGCTGTTCTAGTCTTTTTTTTTTTTTTCTTCCCTGTGAAGTGGTCCAGGAAGCTGTGGCTGGTGGGGCCTGTTCCTCTTTCCAGTTGGCTGGTCTTCCCCTCTGGTTAGAAGTCTGATCTGTCTCTGCTGCTGGGTGTGTGTGTGTGTGTGTGTGTGTGTGTAAAGATAATGATCAAAGCAACACAGGAAAAAAATGCATTTGTTTTTAACTTTAATAGGGGATAGGGCCTGGTCTGGGACATTCCTTGAGGAAGTGATTTGAGGGAGCTGGAGAATGAGAAAGAGGAACTATCCAGAAGACCCTTCCTTTAAAACAGCCCACTCCTAGGGAACACCATGATGTCCCAAAGGAACTCAGGCTCCTCCTGGGCCAGGCAAATGCCAGATGGGAGAAGATTCAAAGCGAACACACCCTAACTACCCAAGCTCCTCCTGAACCTGCTGCCTCATTTGGGCCACCAGCACACAGCCACAGGATTTTAGGCTTCAGCCCCCCTGCCTGGGGGGAAGAAGCAGAGCCTTTTAGGAAGATGGAGCCTTCCAGGAGAAGCCTGCCAGGGGTTCGAGACCCGGGTGGGGCTAGGGCCTTGGGCAGTGAACCAGCCTCTCGGGCCAGCATTCCTGGTTGCTACCCCAAAGTGGGGCAAGGAACCAGCTGTAGTTATGGTGCCCATCCATGCCGGCCGCCAGCACCCTGGGGTGGCTGAGAGCATGGTGTCAGGGTGTTGAGGAATATCCCAACTCTGTAGTTGCCAGCTTTGGCAACTCCCTTAAATGAGCCTCAGTTTTCTTGCCTATAATATGGGGACAATATAACAGTACCATTCTCACAGGGTGGTTCTGAATATTTAGTGAGCTAATACATGAAACATCCTGGCACATGGTGGGTACTTGATAAACATTAGCATTATTTTTTTTTCCATTTTTTTTTTTTATCACAAGAATCAGCCAGTTCAAACTTGCTTTTTTTTTTTTTTAACTGGGGATTAAACCTAGGGGCCCTTAACCACTGAGCTACATTTCCAGCCCTTTTTTACATGTTTTTTTTTAAATCTTGAGACAGGGTTTTGCTAAGTGGTTGGGGCTCTTGCTAAATTGCTGAGGCTGTTCTCTAATTTGTGATCCTCCTGCCTCAGCTTCCTGAGGCACTGGGATTACAGATGTGCATCACTGTGCCAAGAATCAGCCAGTTCAGAGATGAAAAACCTAAGACCCAAGAAGCTAAGTAACTTGCTTTGGTCCCCACTCACAAGTAAAAAGTGGAAAGAGTTTGGATTCAAACTTAAATGTCTTTGACTTTCAAAACTGTGCTCCTTGGAGGTGGAAGAAGGAGCAGACGAGTGGCTGCCTGGGAAGAAACTGGGTGTTTTAGTCAGCTTTTTCGCTGCTGTGACTAAGGGATATGACCAGGACAATTATAGAGGAGGAAAAGTTTATTTGAGGACTCACAGTTTTAGAAGTCTTAGTCCATAGAAGGCTGGCTCCAGGTGAGGCTGAACATCATGGCGGGAGAGGGTGGCAGAAGGAAGCAGCTCACATCATGGTGATCAGGAAACAGAGCTTCTCCACTCTTGAGATTCAAAATATATACCCCAAAGCCATGCCCTAATTCCCACCTCCTCCAGCCACTCACTACCACTTCAGTTCTCACTCAGTTAATCCCTATTAGGGGATTAAATCACTGATTGGGTTAAGACTCTTAGAATCCAATCATTTCTCCTCTGAACCTTCTTGCTTTGTCTCACATGTGAGTTTTGGGGGGATACCTCAGATCCAAAAAACCATCACACTGGGCTCCTGTTAAAACCATATATTAATGGATTCAACAGATGGCTGTAACTGGGGTAAAGGTGGCATGCACTTCCTCTTCTAAAGTACAGGATTCAGGCAGGGGCCCCTGCAGGGCCAGGTGCACCAGTTGTGATGGAGTCAGAGCAGGCAGGAGTGGGAGGGGGCCAATTAAATCACAGGGCAGGTGCACACCCAGTTCCAGGAGCTGGAGCTGTGCGGAGGCCACTCACCTTGGAATGAGTGGCCAGCCTGAGCCACAAATATCTGCTCCCCCATGTCTCCTGTAGTTTGTGATGTCCCCTCCCTTACCCATCTTTGTGTGGGATTCCTCCACCTATCCTCTTCCTTCAGTGTAATAATCCCACCTAACAAAAGTGACCATGGCTGATGCTGGCCAGGCTGTGCCCAGGCAAACCACCAAGCTGGACTAAACCCCTTCCCCTGTGCCAGGACACTCTGGCCCTGTGGTTTGTCCCCTTCTTCGTGAAAACCCAAATGACTCCCATTAAAAAAAATATATATTTGTAGCTATAATGGACACAATATCTTTATTTTATTTATTTATTTTTTATGCGGTGCTGAGGATCAAACTCAGTGCCTCACACATGCTAGGCAAGCGCTCTACCACTGAGCCACCACCCCAGCCCATGAATCTTGTTTTTGAGACGCTGGAGTTAAACAGCCCTGGGATGTGAGGAGGCAGAAGCCGAAGAACTTTCCTGAGGACGCTCTGCTCTCTCCAGTTCTGGAAGGGTAGGCTGGGAGGCTGGGAAGACCTTGAAAAGGAAGAGGTCAGAGGTTGCAGAGTGCAGAAGATGCTGTCAGGAGGGGCCTTGGTTTTGGGGGTGAGTTGGCATGGTGGGGGAAGGGGTAATGGTGGCCCAGCTTTGCTATCATCTGCAGGCTCTGAAGTCAGGCAGATCAGGTTTGAATCCTGTCTTTGCCACTTATACACTGGGTGACCTTGGAAAGTCACTTCATTTCCCTGAGCCTCAACTACCTCATCAGTTAAATGGGTTTAGTTAAACTCATGAGGTTTGTGAGGATTAAAAAAGGTAACGAAGAGCCCAGGGCAGGGCACACAGCAAGCATCAATAAATGATCTTTGCTGTTGCTGGGGCTGCTGTTGCTGGTGATGGCTCTGAGTTGGGCCAACCTTCAGAGGCAGGTCAACTAGATCTGTGGGGGTGGGGTGCTTCCTTCTGGCCTGATCCTGCTGCCGCTGACACCAGGTCCTTGGGCCTGTCAGGAAGCTGAGGGGGGGACTCACCAACCCCCAACCTCACCCATGACACCCTGCTGACCCCCAGAAAGCAAGGTTCCTGGCTAGCCTGTGAAGTGAGATGGGGATTCCCTCAGGCCAAGGTGATGCCTGATTTCTCCTTTTTTCCACTTATTTCTTCTCTGCCTTAAATCTTCTCCAGTGCCAGGGAGAGATGTGCTCCTCTGTGCCAGGGAGAGAGCGGGAGCCAGGGTGGGGCAAAGACATGGAGGAGGTTCCCTAATATAGAGAGGAAAGGGGCTGGCAGTCTTTGACTTTTAAACCCCAGGTTGAAATTGGTGACATTGAGTAATGTGGTTAAAATGTATGTCAAAGCCCGGTGCAGTAGAGCACACCTATAATCCCAGCATCTGGGGAGGCAGGAGGATCACAAGTTCGAGGCCAGCCTGGGCAACTTAGCAAGCTCCTGTGTCAAAAAAGAAAAAAGGGTAAGGGGTGTGCCTCAGTGAGGTAGAGCAACACCTGGGCTCAATTCTTGGTACCACAAACAAAAACAAGTCCCCACCCACTGCCACCCCCTTAAGAAAAGAGCTGCCCTTAAGAGCATGGTGCTGCCTGCATAACAGAGGAAGGAGAGCGTCAAGGAGTAAACAACAAATCTAGTCCCTTTGGCCCTCTGACACCTCCTTTCCCGGAGTGGGGGGTCTGTTGTCCTCCCTGCTACTGAGGGCTGGTGGGGCTGGACCTGGTGGAGGGAACTGTGCAGGCTTGGGCCCCAGCTGGGGCTGAAATTCTGCTCTTCAGCCCTTTCCACTAATAGCCGTCTGACTTTGATTACTCCAAAGTCCTGTTCCTGAGACGGGATCTTTGTGTTTCTCCCATGAGTGGGGCCCCTGGTTCCATCTCCACCCAGTTCTCCCAGAATCTGTACAGGGGAAAGCCTGTCCAGGCTTTGGAGAGTTGGGTCAATCTGAGGACCCCGCCGCCCCGACTCCAGCAGGCTGCGCCTACCCGAGCTGGCTCCCGGGTGTAGGAGGTCCTGAGGCAGAGCCTCTGGAGCTGGAGCTGCCGATCTGAGCTGCGATTAGCCTGGAATGTTCCCGGTCCAGTTCGCAGCGAGGTCCAAGGAGACTGTGGGCGGGTCTGGCCCCAGGTTCCTTAGGCTTGGAAACCCACAGGCCTGCCTTCAGGGCCTCTGATTCCTGGGCTGCCTAGGCACAGGCCTGTCCTCTTGACTCTGTCTACTGCACCCACCGTTTCTCAGCAGCCCACAAAGGCCCACTTGGCTCCCTCTGCCAGAAACTTACCACCCATCATCTTTTGACTGGCTGATTTCTACTCTTTTTTTTAAAGGCTCCCTCTCTTACCCCAGCCCAGTACTGGCTGCCCCTTCCCTGTCCTAAGTAACTCCTCCCTTATGTCATGTGGCACTCATTATGTTGGCTCCAGAGTACTGCCCAGGGATAGAAACGTAATCTCTGGGTCCTGGTACATAAGCCCTGCATATGGCAGGTGCCCAACTAGAATGGACAAATGATTGGTGGTCACACCTGGCAGCTTTAAGAGCCACAATTTATGTGGATGTGGATGGAGGTGGTGACTCCTGCTCACAAATGCTCCTCCCACACCTGAGGCTGCCCCTTCTCAGCCCTATATTCTAGGCCTTCTTTCCTTCCACTCAACTCCATCCCCATGTCACAGGTTGATAAGGACTGGGAGGTGGTACAGGAAGGAGTCAAGCATGGGGCCACTGTCAACTTAGGGATTTTGACCCAAGTTTCCTTTTCTGTTAAAGAGATGATAACAGCATCTTTTTAGGGTGGCCATAAGGACTGAAAGTGGCCATCCCTATAAGATGCCTCCCATCTATCTCCCAAGGCCTGGGATCTCTGGAGAGGGGAGGGCAACTCTGGGATCTGGCTTGACATTCTGGTTGCGACATTTCTGCACCCTTTGTCCCCGCCCTGCCCCATCTCCTCCCTAGGGCTACCCCTCTGCAATGCTGGGGGAAGTCTGGGATGTATGGTTATAGGGGAAGCTCCTTGGACAAATGAGTGGCTTCAGTGAAAATTCTCTGCCCACATGGCTGTGTTTAATTTGGGGGTCTGAGTGCCTCTGGTTTCACAGGCACTCAGTGCTGATGGGCATTCCAGATGCCAGGGGTGTGGGGAGTCACTATCTAGGCCCAAGGTGGAAAGTGGAGGCAGACAGCCCAGGTGTTTATGGAGCTCAGCCACCAGAAAATGGGAATCTGAGAAGTTGTGAGCTGTCACCTCTCTGCCAGGCCATCTGCCCCCTGCCAAGTTGAGAGGACACACTAGAAAGGGCCAGGGCCAGCCCTCCCAACAAGCCCAATGAGACCACTTCCCAGGCCAGGTCCCCCACCAACATAGCGCCTGGAAGACAGGTTCTGCCTGCTTCCTCCCAGGGCATTGGATAGGTGTTGTGGGAAAGCTTCACCTTCCCACACTCTCCCAGAGGCCAGAAAGACAGCTTGGGTGGAGGCAGAAGGAACTTGGGGGAAGTGTGGAAGCCAGCATGCACCCACCTTTTCTCTCCACTACTCAGCTCCCACTCCCGCCCACCCCTTGGGGGGGGACACAAGGGATAGAATGTATGAAGACTGGAGGCAGTCTAGCTGTGTGTGACCTTGGGCAAGTGACTTCATTTCTCTGAGCTTCATTTCCTAAGATGTAAATGAGGATAACAACAGCATATATCTCTTAGAAAGTTGTAAGAATTAAATAATCAAATAGGATTAAATAACAAATTAAAGGATTAAATAATAAAATTTATGCATTAAACAAAGAGGCCATTTGAACAAAAAGTGGTAGTATTATTTTGTGGGGTGGGGGGTAGGCAGTACTGGGAATTGGACCCAGGGTCTTGCACATGCTTAGGCAAGCACTATACCACCAAGCTACATTTCCAGCACTTTTCAAAAAAAAAAAAAATCATTCTTTTATTTTGGGATAGGGTCTTACTAAGTTGCCCAGGCTGGCCTTGAATTTGTGATCCTCCTGCCTCAGCCTCCTGAGTAGCTAGGATTATAGGCTACATAATCCACTACATCCAGCCTAGTATTCCTAGTATTCCTAGGTGGTGACTCCTGCTCACAAATGCTCCTCCCACACCTGAGCAGCCTTCTCCAGGGTGTTTCAGGAGGAAGATAAGTACCAAACTAGGTTCTGCTAGGTGTGTGTCCAGGTCCTGTTTTCTCCACCCCTCCCACTCAGCCTATATATATATATTTTTTAATACTATAGGGAGCTTCCCCTATAACCACTACATCCAGCCTAGTATTCCTAGTATCATCTGTCCTTGCTGTGTTCCCAGCATCCACCTAGGACACTTTAATGCAGTTCAACATAACAGAATCTGTTTAACGTTTATGATTTCCTTAAGGAGGAACTCAATGTGCTCAAACAAGGGGAGAAAAGAAGCCCCCAGGTTCTCAGGCAGGGCTGCCATGGCTTTCTGTACCCTGCCTCCTGTTGAGTACCAGATGGTCCTGGGCTATCCTTAACCCTTCCAAGTCCCACAGCTTGGGGAGATCTTGTTGCTTCTTCCTTGGTTGGGACAGTCAGGCAGGTAGGCAAACCTGCCACCCAAGACTATGTTTCATGGCTTGGAGGCCATGCTACAGGAGCTAGAAAGCAGGTGGAGTGGGGTCGTAGGGATGCCTGGCTAGAAAAATGACAAGATGTACCACAGTCCCCCCGCCTTTTTTTTTTTTTTTAATTTTGAGACAGGGTCTCTCTAAGTTGCTGAGGCTGGCCTTGAACTTGCAGTCCTCCTACCTCAGCCTTCCAGGTCACTAGGATTTATAGAGATATGCCACTGCACCCCCACCCAGTTTAATCTATTCTTTCTATAGAGATCGTTCAGAAGCAATGACACCAGAAGCAAAAGGGCCCCCTTCTTCAGTGTTAGGGTCTCAGGCATAACCAAACTCAGCTTTGTACCACCCTCAGTGTGGGGTGCTAGCAGAAGGGAGCAGGAAAGACTGAGAGACCCACAAGGCCCAAAGGCCCTGGGCCATAGGAAGAAAACAGGTATAAAAAATACTTCCCAAGTCCAAGGTTCTAGCCTTACTATATGGAACAACTAAAGGGTTAACCTTGGTCCCCACTTACAAACGCACCCACCTTGTCCATATCTGTAAAGAGAAAAGGAAGAAAGATGCTGTTGGAGCTTGTAGGCTGCCTTATTGCCTATAGCTGCAGCTGGATAACCATATTTGTGTGCCCGTTGAGGGACCCTGGGACTTCCAGGCAGGCCACCTTGGAGTTCTCTCCTGTAAGACCAAGAGGCATGAAACTGAAGTTCTGCCCGAGGATTTAGGCCAGTTGGTGGCCCTGGCCACAGTTGTTCCTTAAGGCCAAGGCCTGGGTTAAACTGCTGGCATTATACAGCACCCTCCTCCCAACCACCAGAATAGGTGGTATTGACACCCTTTTGAGGGGTCCTGCACCCCTCTCTAGGGGCAGCACAGAGATGCTCAGCCTTTTCAGCAGTCTGTGGAGGGTTAGGCCATGGAGGGGCTGCTGGGTACTGGTGTTTCCTGGGGAGGCCTTCTGGCTGCCAGGGTGGTGAGTCCTTACCTGGAAGCAGAGCAGCCTCTCCCACCCAGATTCAGGCCAGACTGTGGAGTGGAAGAGAAGCCAAAGCCAGTCAGGACCAGGCGTCTGGAATGGCTGTTTTGTTGGATGGGTCCCAGGCCTGGGGCTCTGCTGCCCAGGCCCTGCCATTCTTCTGAAGAATGGGGGCTGGGGATGTATCCTGCCAGGCCTTGAAAATGAGACGGCCAGAGAACCAGGGGAATGGAGGATGGTGTGTGAGTGTGTGCAAATGTCAATGTGCCAAACCCAATAGCTTCACTCCTAGGAGTTCTTTTATTAAGTGCCTGATCCCAGCTCCTCCTCCTATGGCTGATGGAGCACAGAGGGCTGGGATACCACAGCCTCACGGGCGAAACCCCACCTCTCAGCTGCCTGGAAATTTTAGTCAGGGACCACACAGGGTACTGCAGTTTCCTGTCACCAATCAACAGGCGGCAAGAGAAGGCGCCTGGCATACTTAGAGAGGGAGGAGGCCATGTGGAGAGGCTGGCAGATTTCCTGGGTGTGGAGGAAAGGGATAGGGTTCGGGGAGCAGCCTTCTCCAGGGTGTTTCAGGAGGAAGATAAGTACCAAACTAGGTTCTGCTAGGTGTGTGTCCAGGTCCTGTTTTCTCCACCCCTCCCACTCAGCCTGGTTCTCCCTCTCCCCACTCTTGAAAGATCCTGTGATTCTTTTTTTTTTTTTTTTAAATATTTCTTTCTTAGTTGTACACAATACCTTTATTTTGTATATTTATTTTTATGTGGTGCTGAGGATCGAACCCAGGACCTTGCACGTGCTAGGCAAGTGCTCTACCACTGAGCTACAACCCCAGCCCTGATCCTATGATTCTTTATCACAGTTCATAATTCTCCACTTGCTAAGTGGTTTGGTTGAGGTCCACGCTCCCTATGGATCATGCGTCTACTGTATGGTGCTATTAGGATGGAAGGGGTTATACCTGTTTTCATTACTGTCTCCCCAGTACTTGGCACTCCCCACGGTGGTCAAAAAGTGGGTGCTCAATACACATTTGATGAGTAAATTAATTAAAGAATAAATTCCTCTGGCAGATACCATGAGCTTCTTGTTTATTTTTGACTCCCCAACCCCTGGCCCCTTGCCTGACATAAAATCCCACTCAATCATGTGGGATGGAAGACTGAGATTAAAGGTGAGCTAAGATAGACCTTTGCAGATGTGTTATTGAGAGTCTTATCTATCTACCTTTCAGGCAGTGAGGACATGGCTTCTCCTCTAGGTAGTCCTGGGAACAAAGGGGTTCCCAGAGGAGCTGAGAAGGCAGAAGGCAGTGCTGACTCAAAAAGGTGAGGCCTCAGTTGGGTTGAACTGCAGGTGCTCTTCCAGGTAGGCTGCTGTGTGGGGGTAGAAATCTAGGGCAGGACCAGAGAACATGGTCTCAAGGGCTGTACCACTCACATCACTGAAGCCTCCTGAGGGTGGAGATTGAGTACAGAGCCCCCACAAGTGCCACTCTTTAGACCTGAGAGTCTTGAGGTCAGATGGGGCTCTGACCTTCAGGTTATCCCTTGCCTTTGCACAGACAGAAAGTCTCAGACACATCTGGGGAACTGAAGGACAATGAGAACAATGTAGGAACTTGTGCTGTGCTTGGAATAGATCCCCTGCACTAGCAGCAGAGCAATAGCACTGTGTCCTGGGAGGTGATGCTCTTCTCAGGGTTGGAGTTCCCTGAGAAGATCAATTATGGGGCTCATCCTCCACATCTGGATGAACTGAGGAGGTAGGATCTCCTGGAGCTCAGGGCCCAGTTCTAAATAGATTTGAGGTCTGGAGTTTCCAATCCAGAATGGCATCTTAGAGAATGAAAGCCACTTAGGTCCTGTCTTGTGGACATCCCGGTGGGCAGTGGAGTGCACTCATCCAGGACCCACTCCAGCAAGGATTTGAGTGTCTATCTGGCCAGCTATGAATCAGAACCAGGATGGACAGAGAGGCAACCCTGTGCTAAATGTTAGGATTTGAAACCACAGCTTGTATGCCACTTGAGAATTAATTTAATCTTTGCCTCAAGGGGTTGCAAACCCCCCCAATTTAACTAAACCAAAACAAAATTAAATGTTAGTGACTGACTAGCAGGCAAGCAGAGAGGTGTTGTTTCAAGGACTCTCTTTTAAACTATACATAAACTGATTTTTAAAAAATTTTAAATTTTTGGTAGAGAAGCATTTCTTCAAAGGTAGAAGTACCTAAAATGGATGCAGGCTAGTGTGTGGACACACAGAGAACTTCTTTGTTTTTTTAAAACACAAAAAAGTTTATCAGCCACTCTAGCAGTTTTCATAAAGGTTGACTTGGGATTCAAATAATAGAGTATTTCTCTATGGAAACAGCATCTTATCAAGTGGAATGATCCCTCGCAATGCTAAGGCTGGGAAGCAGGTCTCTGTCCTGAGCCATGGGGGTGTTTGGCAGCCCTGAGAGGCTTACCGAAATAGAGTCCTCCGGAGAGCTGACCCAGAGAGGGGCTCACACATGCTTTTCTTCTCTCTCATTTTGATTTCCTTTACAACCTGAAGCCAGATGTGGTCACTTTAGCCTACAACTGCCGCCCAGGTGCCTGTATCCAGGAGGCCAAGCTGAGGCCCCAGCAGGTAGGGCCCCCGCTCTAACAGGTGCCCAGCGTGTGCGCGTCGCTGTCCTGAGGCCCCTGTACCCGGCCCAGCTCCGAGCCCGAGGACTTGGAGAGCAGCCGCGCACCCTCTTCAGAGGTGCCTGGGGAAAAAGCGGGAAACAGGGCTGATCCTTCTTCGCTCCTCCTTAAATTCCAGCGTCCTCGGTTCTCTGCGCCCTGGGTGCGGCCTACTTAACCATCTGCCTGAAAGCCGGGCGGCTGCCAGAGCAGAGCCGGAGCGGCCGAGAGGACCAGTGGGGCGGGAAGGGAGAGTGGTGAGTCCTTGGGGGCAGCATCCTGTGCGCGCTGCTTGGCTCGCGGGCAGCCCAGCCACCTGTACGGGCGCGGCGCGGCTACATCTCCGTCCCAGGCCTGGGCGCGCAGAGCCACGGAGCTGGCCTGAGGGCGGGGCTGCGGCGGCGCGGGGAAGCGTCCCCCTCTGCCGGGCCTCTCCAGAGCGCAGTGCGGGCGCGCCCAGCACCCGAGGAGCCGGCAGACACCCCATTCGCCCCCTGGCGGCGCCGGGACAAGCTGGGCAACACCGCCGCGGCGGAATGAGCTGTCCACAGCAGCACTGGGCGCCGCCCGAGGTCACGCAAGAATCTGCCCGGGGCTGGGAACCGAGAGGAAAGCGGACTTAGGAAGGAATAGGGGGAGTGGATGAAACAAAGCGACTGTGAAATCTGAGGTTTCCTTTGCATCATATCCTCCAAATCCTGTGCGAGCTTCTCCTCTAGCGTGGTGACTGACACGGGGATCTCATATCTGAGTGGTCCTCCCTCCCCTCACCAAGTCTCCCTGGAAATAAAAGCCTCGTTCCCATTCTCACCCTTTCTGGAAAATATGCCATATCTCCATTCCTTCCGCAGTGACCTGACAATAGCAGCCTTGGCCCACCCAGCCTCTCCCCAGGCCTGCCACGCCTGGGAGAGCTCTGAGGCGGTGCCAGGAGGTTTCTTTGGGAGGGGAACAGCATTCAAAATGGTCCCTTTAGTGCTCACGAGGAGTTTGGCACTGCCCCGGGCCTTATGGAAGGTAAAGATCTTGACCTCTGGGTGTTTCAATCTCAGAAGAAAAACACTCAGGAGATGATGGGCACAGCTAGTGGCCTGGCAGCAGGAGCCTCAGGGGAGGGCACACTGGGGATGGGATGGGATGGGTTGTAAACTCTGGAGCTATCAGAACTTGCTAAGTGGATAAGATTTGGAAAGAGAAAAGGAGAGTATTCTTGGCCAAGTCTGGAGTGCAATGGAGGGCTAGTGTGGAGCAAGGCTGGTGGACCCCAGGGGCCCTGTAAGGATATGTTTCTTCAGTGGGAGAGGGGAAGAGGAAGAACTGGAGGTTGGAAGCTGCTCTGGGAGGCAGCAGCAGCACCGACCTGGCAGACCTGAGTGCAGGCTGAGGTGGGGAAAGGAAGTGAGGCTGTGTGTGCAGGAACAGGTGCCAGGGAAGGAGGGAAAAGACTTCTGGCCTAGGAGGGGACCACACAGGCCCATGCTCCTTGCCCAGGTCAAGTTTTCCTCAGGTGGCACTGATACCTAAGCAATGCCAGTGCAGGTGTCCCCAGCTTCTTCAAAGGACTGGGTTAGGTTTTTGTCAGGAAGGAGAAAGCCCAGGTCATGGTATGAGGAGGGAGCAACTCCAGGCTAGTTCCAAAGGCAAAGGATTAAAAAGAGTGAAGCAGGTCTCTGGGGCGAGAAGGAAGGCTCCGGAAGCCTCCTGGAGAGGAAGACAAAAGAGGGACCAGTAGGGGGCGCAGGGCCTCTGAATCTCAGGTCCACCAGGGCTGGCAGGAGCTGGCTGTCTGT